TTTAAGGTAAGGAAACATACAGTGTGCTGTGCCCAAGGTCACATGTCCTTCAAGAGCAAAATGGGGTCTAACCTTGATCTCACCCAGAACCCGTGGGATGTTGCCTCCTTAGAGCTGGTGGGTAACTGTTCATCAGCAGGAGCTCCCGAAACATCTCTATTTCTCCAGAGTTATACATCCATGTATTTCCAGGCAAAATCTTTTTGACACAAGTAAGCCTTATAGTTAACAATGTTCTAATTTAAATAGAGAATGCCAGTAAGAAATGGCAGGAAATTACAAATATAACTCATTAATCCTCAATGAATATAAGCATACTCAAAGGAAATGATGCTTTACAATTTATAAAGTAAGAAACATCATTTTCTTAATAAGGGTAGTTTCACACTCCGTAGGGAATTTGCCTCCACTCCCTGCTCTGCTCTGCTCTGCACCCTCCTCTGATTTTGTCAACACCCTCAGATTTGGATCAAAGTCTTAGTTCACTTTTCACTCCACAGAGTCCCGCTGGCAAGGCCAGGCCTCCAGAACTCCCAGCGGCCTGAGCTCCTAGATAAGGAATGCTGTCTCAGCCAGAGCATTAAGCACAAGGCAGGCTCTCAATAAATGTGAGTTGAAATCATGCAAATCACTATGGTGGACACCTGCTTGTTCAAGTAGCCCTGCTTATTCAAGGGCCATCTCTGACCATTTGACAGTGGAAACCCAGAATATAGATATACACCCTGCACATGTGAGCTATACAGAAGTGACGTGTGGACTCCTTAATTTCTCTAATGGCTCAGTATAGCAAATAGTTCTGAGGATCCTGTTTTGTACCGGACACTCTAACAGGTGCTGTGGAGCCAAGAAGAATGAGACCCACCCCACCTTAATGGAGCTCATTTTCTACTGGGTAGAGGGAAGTACATGAGGGTGAATTACATTTTTTCTAGGATACACAAATTTCCACTCTGTATGCTGAAAACTGTTCTGCTATTGCAAACTAATCATTGCTTACATCAGTTAATACTTCTTAGCACCCTAGCTAAATTAATGGTGTTTGGAAAATAATCATTTTGGAGTTAGCTTGTTTGTTTCTATATTACATCTTTCTTATTGAGTGCCAAAGCAGTTTGAGACAAACTAAGTCTTTCAAAATGTTTCACCTTTTGGCCCGATTGGTGTGGTTCAGTGGTTGAGTGTCAACGCATAAACCAGGAGGTCACAGTTCAATTCCTGGTCAGGGCACATACCCAGGTTGCAGGCTCAATCCCCAGTGTGGGGCATGCAGGAGGCAGCCCATTGATGAGTCTCTCTCATCATTGATGTTTCTGTCTCTCTCTCTCTCTCTCCTTCTCCCTTCTTCACTCTCTGAAATCAGTCATATATATATATAATTACCTTTTGGAGACAGATGAAATGGTAAGAATAAATTATTAATCATACAACTATCTTTGCATCATAAATTTGAATTAGTAACTTTACATAATGAGTTGAAACTACAACACATACATGGCGGAGGGGAAGCTATTGAAGCCCCCAATTCATTATCTTGTCTTTCCTATTTGCTGTTTTGTTCACTGCCACCTTCCACAACTATTTATATTAATCCATTTCTCCATATGGATATTAATAAACTTTAGATCTTCCGTTGAACCCTTCACCTCAATACAAGCAAAACATATTTATTTTCTTCTGTTAGAATTAATGTATTTTTCCATTATTCAAGTCCACTTTTCATGAGTCGCATGTGAAAGAAGAATGTTTGCAGGATGTATAATTTAGCCTTTGGATCCTGTCCATTTCTCCAGGACCAGGCTGATAGGCATGTTATTAGATCATTCTGCAGTTTTGGAGCACAATTAGACCAAGCCTTGACTAAAGGAGGAGACATGACCAATGGAAACCTGCGGAGTTCAAAAACAGAGGCTCTGGTTGGCAAGGGGGAGCGAAGAGGAGCAGGGACGCTGTAGCCCCACCTCCCTCCTGAGGGTGACAAGTGGTTGGCACTCTGATGAGGACACTCAGAGCTAAGGCATAACTTCCAGGGGGAGATGTGTACACTCTGGCCTCTCCACACCCACCCGAGTTTTCAGTGTTCTGCCCAATGTTTCAGGAGTTCTGCTCCCCTCAGGAACATAATGACACCCAGTGCTCCCACAACCCTGTCCTCCCCATTCCTGAGGGGAAGGAAGGTGGGCTCCAGGCTCAGCTTCCCCAATAAGGGCCTCCTCTGTGCCCAATTAAACCCAGATCCTCTTCCCTACCCACAAATCTGACAAATTCCCGCCCTAACTACCACCTGATAACTCCCTGCTCCCCTCTTCCATCTCCAGGGCTATGATCCCAGGTCCTTTCCAGATGTTCCCAAGCACCTGATTCCCCAAGAGACCGCCGGGAAAGAGACAGCAGGCACCAGGGAGCCAGGTCCTGTGCTAGGCTAGTTCTGGGACAAGAAAATAAAGGAAGCTACGGGGCCCTAGAGGTCAGATATTTGTGATGCTGAGGACAGGAAAAATACTGGGTAGGGTGCTTTCTGCCTGACCCCCAGCTTCCTGGGGCCCCTGGAGGCTGTGACTCCCTTTGGAACTAACCTGTGACTCATCTTTGACCCCTCTGGTCCACAGTGTGCTCGCTTGGAGAGCACAAGGGTACTTCCTGTTCTCACTTAGAATTGGATCATAGGCTGCATTGGGACATCTCTTGCATTTTCCTTTAGCTGTAAAGTTGTGATTTAACTTTTTCCCATGGGATGTTTGATTTTAGCTTCCTGAATGTAGAGAGGGGGCCCCCTGGCACTGGGTGGCAATCTGGGCATGCTGTGAGCATAACCATGATTAGGAGGATCAGTTGTTCTTGTGTCCATGCTTAGGTATGGTAGGAAGCAGGAATGGAGATGATAGAAAGAACTCCTTTTGTTCTGAGGTTATGCAAAGGAGAATTGAGTCCTTTTTTTAGGGTAATGGAATCTAAAACAATATTTTTAAAAAATCTTTTTATTGTTTTCAGAGAAGGGGAGGGATAGAGCAATAGAAACATCAATGATGAGAGAGAATCATTAATCAGTTGCTTCCTGCACACCCCCCACTGGAGACAGAGCCTGCAAACCAGGGCATGTGCCCAGATAGGGAATGAAACCGTGACCTCCTGGTTCATAGGTCAACCCTCAACCACTGAGCCACACTAGCTGGGCTAAAGCAATATTTCTTCTTAAATAGTTGGACATTCCCTTATATATAAATTATCTAATTTTCTAATCATTCATGCCATTTTGCATAGGTAGATGCCCCTCAAGTATAGGGAAGTTGGTGTTACTGTCAGAGGTCTGGACAGAGGTGTCCTTGAAGGGCAATGGTCTGCAATGGCAGGAAGCTGCATATGTGTCACTTTCTGTCAATGCTAATAAAGAACCTTTAACTACTCAGAATGTCTCTGTCCTTGTTCTGCAAAAGTGACAAGTTATGTCATTGTAATCTCCCATTATTGTCCCTTGGCACCAATAAATAATACATTGTCATTTATTCATCAAGTTTTTACTGAAAACCTATCACTTCACGTGCAAGCACTGGACTAGAAGCTTGGAATACAGTCATAAAATGCAGTTGCTACCCTTGAGCAGTGCTCCTTCCAAAGAAGGTGATAAATAGCTACATGACATAGTTGCGTTATAACACAAATGCAATTAAAATAGGAGACTCAGAGAAGGCACCCAGAGGCTGAAAGTAGCATGTGACTTGGGTCTTGGAAGATGAGTTGGCCATATTGGAGGTGGAGAAGACGGAAAAATATTCAAGGCAGAGAGAATAGTTCATGCCAAGGCAAAGAGGTGTGGAAGAGCCTCGTGTATACTGAGAAAGGCAGACCGGTCTATTGGAATGGAGATGTGTGTGTGTGTGTGTGTGTGTGTGTGTGTGTGTGTTGATAGGTGATGATGAGGCTGGAGAGGTGGTGAATAACCTTGATGCCATGTCTCATTTATATTTTATCCACTAAATAAGGGAAAACCAGCTGTTTTTCAATCATGGAAATAAAATGTTTAGGGTTGGCTTTAGTAAGGTTGTTCTGGTATAAAGAAAGAATTAGACAGGTGGCATTCCATAAGCCAAGAAACCAGAGTCTTACCTGGACCCTTGCCTGCACTGGTAAAGGCCTGAATTAAGGTAGACATAGTGACTGATGATTCAGAGCAGTGATTCTCAACCTCCTAATGCCGCGACCCTTTAATACAGTTCCTCATGTTGTGGTGACCCCCAAGCATAAAATTATTTTCGTTGCTACTTCATAACTGTAATTTTGCTACTGTTATGAATCGTAATGTAAATATATGATATGCAGGATGTATTTTCATTGTTACAAATTGAACATAATTAAAGCATAGTGATTAATCACAAAAACAATATGTAATTACATATGTGTTTTCCGATGGTCTTAGGTGACCCCTGTGAAAGGGTCGTTCGACCCCCAAAGGGGTCGCGACCCACAGGTTGAGAACCGCTGATTTAGAGACAAATAAAAAATTGACAGATCAGAAACCCTATTGAATGTGAGGGTCAGGGAAACAGAGAGGAAAGAAGTTTTAAGCAACTCCTGGATGGTAGAGTGCACTTACTGACATAAGGAATACTGTAAAATGTGTGTGTTTTTTTGTTTTTGTCACTTGTTATTTGCAGCATAACATTATTATTTATTGGTACAAGTGGAAGTTTATTCTCCCACCCTTATTTAAAAAACAAAACACCATTTGCACTGATGTAATTTTTAACATTATTGCACAGTGGAAATCAAATGATGTCAATTTCATGCCTGTGGCAAAGTGCCCTAATTAAAGACATCCTGCAGTTATTCAAATCTCTTTCCTCCTCCACATATTTTTCTTTCTCCCACAACACATTCCCTCCACTTAAACCCCTCCCAACAGAGAGACACCAATCAGAGTTCAGACTGAGGGCAAGCATGGAGCAGTTCTGGGCTCTGGTGCAAGTATGATTTCTATAAAAAGACATTTAAGAAACAAGGCGAAATGTTGCCATTTTGCCTTTAATGGAAGGGTGGCTAGCAGTTACAGTAAAAAAAAAGTTTTATTTAAAAAAACAACTCTTCAACTTCTAGGCAATCACTGAATTTTCAGAAATACACATACAATTGCAAACCAATAGTTTGTATAAAAATAAACTCTGAATGTGTGATTATAAAGGAGACCTCCCCTCCCCCCCCCCAGTCTTTTCAGCTGCACAAATGCACAATAAAATGGAGGCAGTCTGTCTGAGGTGAGTTTACCCCAGTGAGGAGGGGGCTTTGACTTTGGGAGACAGAGCCTGCTTGAAGCGCCTCTTCAGGTCCTGCATGTTGGGAGAGCGTGGCCGAGGAATGATGGAGGCCCTTCTCCTCTCCCCACTGAGGCCGTGCAGCTTGCTCACTTCTTTGCAGAGATGCTGAAACACATCACAGACATCTTCATAGTTTTCACTGGTGGAGATTTCAAGGAACAGGCTGCCCAGCTCGTTGGCTAGTTGAACACCATCATCGGTCTGCACCTGCCGGGCATGCAGAAGGTCCCCCTTGTTGCCCACGATGATGATAGGGGCCTTTGAGTCAGGGTGGACCTTCCGGATGTGCTGGTAAAGGGGGCGGATTGACTGGTAGCTGTCGTAGTCTGTGATGGAATAGACCAGCAGAAAGCCCTCTGCCCACTGCACGCATTTGGACAGGGAGTCAACCACCTGCATGAGGTTATCTTGGACCTGAGAAGATCAAAGGGAGTCTGATCAAGGAAGCCCTCAGTGGGAGAGGACTCAAAATATCATCAAAGTAAACTTTGAGCAATGGTTGAAAAACAAATCACTAAATATAGTTTTCAGATTCTGCCCTGCTTCTGCAGAAGGAGGTTTTTGATGTAGAAAGAGCAAATTCTCAGGCAAGTTCCCTGCCTGGCTTATTTTATTAGCTGTTACCAATGCATTGTTTTTAACCTCCTTGCTGGGCAGGTAGTCTGTGGTGAACCTAGGCTGACTGAAGAGTGACTTCAATGAGAACTTTCAAATCAGAATGTCACAATTTTTAAGGAACTAACTCAGAAAAAGCAAAACTTTGAAAATAAGCCAAGATAAACATCTATTCCCAAAACCCATAAAAATATTTTTAGCATGTCCTTCTTGAGAATGTTCCAGAAACAAATTCTTTCTTTCAGTTCTTCCACGAGACCTTTCCTCCCTAGAAGGGAGAGCAATTAACTTAATCAAGTTACATTCCTGAGCAGGCGCCAAGGGTGTCTGACTGCAATTAGTGACTTGCGGGAACAGCTAGAAACAGAAGCACTTCCGCAGTCCCTGCTGGGGGAGAAGACCCTCTCCAGGGCCCCGCCAGTCAGTTTTGTTAATGGTTCCGCAGCCAGCCCTGAAAGAGGTGGTGAGACCCATGCCAGTAGCCTTGCCCTCGCAGCTTGTAAAGAGAAGTCAAGCGCCTCTCCCCCTCTCAGAGGTGGCACATTGGAGGAAGCTGCCTCCAACCTTCCAGTCCTCGTCCCCTTGGAGGGTTCCTAACAGCCCACTGACCGGCCCCTCCTGGGACAGCCCACTACTCCATCTAAATGCACATCAGGCCCGTTGAGAGTCTTGCTCATGCTCCAGAGCGCCCTCGGTGTGGGTGTCGGAAGGGAAGTCCGCCAGTCCTTACCTGGATCCCCCCGGGGGTGTCCTGGATCTGCAGGGACAGCTGGTCTCCCTCGACACACACAAGCCGTGAGTACAACTTGCCTGGAGAATGAAGGAAAGTCTGCTTTTACATTCTTACACTCTCAGCAGAACAAAGAAAATCGAAGCATGCAGCCACAAAAGCAGGGGGCACATAATTATTCTAACCTGTATTCGGTTCATAATCGCCAATGAATCTCTTGGTCAGGAAGCGCACAATCATTGCTGAAAGTGAATAGGAAAATCAGGTGAAGGGCTCGGACAGGACCATCAAATACGACACTCCGGGAGAAGGAGGGAGGAACGGGCTGCGGACTCTGCAAACCCGGGGTGGCCGTCGTGGTCCCCGTACCTTTGGTGGCGGGGACGACTGCAGGTACTCGACCTGCTGCACCTGCCCTCGTCCTCCAACGGTGCCAAACCCAGCGACAGCTCACGAAAGGTTACTCGGGAAGCCAGGAGGGAGGGGATGTCCGCTTCCTCCCTGTGCCCGGTCCTCCTCCCCGGGCTGTGAGCCCCCGCTCTTCCCCATACCCCGTTGTTCGGACCCGGCCCGGGGTGGGCTCCGCCCCGTGAGGTTCCCTAGGCACTCACCGCTCTTGCCCACGCGGCCGGCGCCCAGCACGGCCAGTTTGATGTCCCGGGGCAGGAGGTAGTCGGAGGAGGACTCTGGGATGGCGCGAGCAGAAAGTGCCCGGACATGCTGGGCGGCCGCATGGAGCGCGTCCGGCCGCCAGAGCACAAAGCCTACCCAGCGAGGACTCTGCCGCAGCGGGTGGCTGGCGAGCGGGCAGCGCAAGGACTCGGGGTACTGGGGCCAGGCGGACCTCCGAGCTGTCACCGCCGGCGGCTTTTAAAGGACTCCGCGCACACCAGGGCGCAGCGGCCGCCTCAGGCTCCTCCTCTTCCTCACCCTCCCAGCGGTGGCGGACAGGGCGGGAGCAGGGAGGGCCGGAGACCAACGCAGCCGGCTTGCGCACTCCTCGTCGCCTGACGCTCTCTGCCCGGGACCTGCGCGTTTCACGGCCCCCAGGCGCTGGAAATGCAGGCACTATCCCGAGAGTGCAGGGAGCCTCTCGCCGGGCTATGCCTGAACCCTCCTCCACCCTGCAGAGGCGACCCTGAGTCAATAGATGAGTGAACCTGAGATCAGAGTTAGGAGCTGGGGGACGAAAGGAAGAGGGAAAACTGCAACCAGTAGGATCTTTCCGCAACAGTGGGAGGGAAATTCCTGCCAAATGTTGCCTTTTATTTTCAAAAGGTGATGAGGGGTGACAATATTAGGGGAAAGGGGATGGGCAGAGCTCACTGTTAGTAGCAGTACAAGGGAACTGTAGTCACTTTGACCAGGCTCCAGATCTATGAAGGCCCTGGAGGCAGTAGTTGTTTGCACCTCAGCTGGCACGAGTTGCATTGACTCATCAGCGAACACTATAAGCATTCCATGGGCTAGGACCAGGGGTGGGCAAACTTTTTGACTCGAGGGCCACAATGGGTTCTTAAACTGGACCGGAGGGCCGGAACAAAAGCATGGATGGGGTGTTTGTGTGAACTAATATAAATTCAAAGTAAACATCATTACATAAAAGGGTACGGTCTTTTTTTTAGTTTTATTCATTTCAAATGAGAAGATCCAGCCCGGCCTGCGGGCCGTAGTTTGCCCATGACTGGGCTAGGACAGTGGTCGGCAAACTGCGGCTGGCGAGCCACATGCGGCTCTTTGGCCCCTTGAGTGTGGCTCTTCCTAAGCCTTAGGAGTACCCGAATTAATAACAATGTACCTACCTATATAGTTTAAGTTTAAAAAATTTAGCTCTCAAAAGAAATTTCAATCGTTGTACTGTTGATATTTGGCTCTGTTGACTGAGTTTGCCGACCACTGGCTGGAAGCTCTGGCTCAGGACCTATGCACTTGAGTCATGCACGTGCTTCACTATTCATCCCAGTACTGACTTCCAGGTGTAAAGTGGAGTTTAGAGTGAGGTGGAGAGTGGAAGGAAGAGAACACAAAAGAGAACTATGGCCTGATTATGGGTTTCTGGGCCCACCCTGTCAAGGCAGAGCCGTGGGAGTTTATCCTTGCAGGATGTAAGACCTTATGCTTCTGGCCTCCTGCATTTCAGCCTCTTATGTCCAATTGCCTATTAGACACCCTTACTCACCCCTCCTTCTATCCTGGTTGTATTAGCTTTTGCTGCATTAAAAAAAAAAAAAACTGGCTTAAAACAATGACCCCTCATATTTGCTCACATGTCTAAAGACCAATGGGGTGGTTATCCTACACTACGCCAGGCTCAGCTGATCTTGGTTGGCTCTTTCAGGCATCAGCAGAGAGCTGACAGGGCTTGAGGAACTGGCATCATCCTGCAGCTGGCTGTCAGTCAGCTGTGATGAGGGAGGGACAATAATTGAGTCACATGTCTCTGCTTATCAAGCAGGCTGGCCAGGGCTTGTTCTCATGGTGGCTGAGAAGGGTTCCAAGAGGGGGATTAGAAGTGGAAAAGGCCCATTGAGACCTAGGCTCAGAGGGGAACCCATCACCTCTGCTTTTTTGTTGGCCAAAGCAAGTCACAATGCCAGCTCAAATTCAAGAGGTAGGGAGAAAGACTCCACTCCTTGGTGGAGGGAGGTGCAAAGGCACATTTGAAAGGACTGGGATGCAAGGAGGGGTAAACAATGGATCCATTTTTTGCAGTTGAACACACTAATGAATGTGCCTCCATCACCCAGTAGCCCATCCTTGACTCTCACTTCCACATCAATTGCCAACTTCCATAATTTCTACTGCCTCCATTTCTTGGTGTCTCCTCCTCTCCACCCCTACTGCTCTCTTCATTTTTCAATTGAAGAATCCTGAATAATCTTGAAGGAACTGATTGTGAGTAGTTCACTTGTTCCTCCGTTGGGGAAGCTTCTCTGACCACTGCTACCACCCATACGCTTATTTCCCAGTTACTCTCAGGGCTCACTCAAGTGTCACTACTTTCTGGTGGAATATTTGCTTCATGTCTGTCTCCAGGAGGGCAGAGACTCTAGCTTGTGTCTTTAGTACCAAGCACACAGTGGTAACCTGGGATTTACAAGCTCTTGAATAAATGTTTGTTCACTGATTGACTTTCTGAACAAATGGTGTCTTCACTGTATGAACTAGAAAAGACAGAAATCATTATCCCAGTACCTTAGTTTTGAGAGTAACCTGTTCGCAGGAGCTAGTGTTCCAGGAAATGTCCCGGGATGAACTGCCGTATTTCAGTTGTACTGACTTTTGGCTGTTCACAAGGCAATCCCCTTCTGTTAAACTTCAGTTTAACTGGAAAGACTTGAAGCAGAGCACCTTCTTCCCTGACTGGGGAAAAGGCACCCATAAAGAGAGTTACTATTTACAGAACAATTTTGAAACTATTAGCTCCCAGGGGTCCTTGAGCAGTTCAGTGATAGGGGTCTGATTTGTTGTCTCTCCGATTCTCTTGGCCTTTCCTTCTTGGACACAAAATGGCTCCTGCTTCCCCAAACATTAAGTCCTCATTCAAGCAGGAAGGGAGGGCCTCCCTGTCTTTTCTTATTGTGAAATAATCCTCAGAAGAACCCAGCAGACTTTCTCATATCCCAATGACCAGAACTAAGAAGCTGGAAGTTCATACAAGTATTTAGCAAAAAAGACTGGAATTGCTGACTAAAACAATCATAGTTCTTCCCCAGGGGCTAGCCCAGTGGTGGGCAAACTTTTTGACTCGAGGGCCACAATGGGTTCTTAAACTGGACCGGAGGGCCGGAACAAAAGCATGGATGGAGTGTTTGTGTGAACTAATGAGGGTACAGTCTTTTTTTTTTTTTTTTAGTTTTATTCATTTCAAATGGGCCGGATCCGGCCCGAGGGCCGTAGTTTGCCCACGGCTGGGCTAGACAGTTGCTACCTGTTAAAATTCAAGGAATAGACAGGGGATCTATGTTGAGCAGCTGTCAATGTGATCTGCTACAAATACTTCACATTCCTGGAGTCTAAATGCAGACCTTTCTAGGGAAAAGCCATTTCTTGGCTGAATCTTGGGCTTATCTCTTCACTTCATTCCGTTATACATTCCCAGTCAGGAATAAAATCATTTAAGTTTAAGGTCACTCGATAAGGAAGAGTCCTAAGACTGTTCTCTGCACAGGTGATAATTGCATTCCATTTTGCATTTACCTGGCAACTTTGCTAGGTGAGCTCAAAATGTTATTCCACTTTCCTCGGAAAGCTCTTTGCATTTGCAAGTAATAATCCATGACTTTTTAATGCAGATAATATATTAGTGAACTGTGAAATTATAACCTTGTGTAAATTGTTCTGCTTGTTTTTCATTTGGATTTTTGTCTAGCTATGTAAATTGTGTGACTAACATAACAGGCATGCTGAAGTGGCTTTAGAAAGGTAATAGAAATGTGTAGGCAGACATGGATACACAAGTCCATGGGTGTTTAGAATGAGTGTGAAGGACAGAATTTGGAATATGCAAACATCACTAGGCTTAGAAAGTTATTAACCCTTTACCAGCTAAATAAGCTTGATTTCTAGATCTCAGGCAAAACTTTGCCAAGGACTATCCTCTACTAGTTCAAGAACATCCCTTCCCCCTAGCCCTGGTTGGGTGGCTAAATTGGTTGAAGCATAATCCCATACACACAAAAGGTTGTGGGTTTGATTCCTGATCAGGGCACAAACCTAGGTTTCAGGTTTGATCTCCTTTCAGGGTGCTTAAGGGAGGCAACAATGTTTCTCTCCTTTTCTCAACATATCCTCAGGTGAGGGTTAAAAAAAAAAGTCCCTCTAACCACCATCCGTAGAATTCAGTATCAATTACCTTTCCTGTATAGCCTAAATCAGGGGTCCTCAAACTTTTTAAACAGGGGGCCAGTTCACTGTCCCTCAGACCGTTGGAGGGCCGGACTATAGTTTAAAAAAAAAAAACTATGAACAAATTCCTATGCACACTGCACAGATCTTATTTTGAAGTAAAAAAACAAAACGGGAACAAATACAATATTTGTATTTGCATGTGGCCAGCGGGCCATAGTTTGAGGACCCCTGGCCTAAATCCTTGAATATTACTATGCTTACAGGAGACTCAGAGACTATCTTTTGGTACTTTCCCCAGAATAGGAATTATGCTTCTGTCTTGTACCAACTTCCTACTTTATTTCAACTGTCAAAATAATTGAAAATCTACTCTGTAAGGCTGTTAAGTACTGGTACAAAACACAAAGAACAGCCAAGTTTCTATTATAAAACATTTACTGAAAGGACAATAAAGTACATAAGATACCCCTGTCTGCCATCACAGACATCCCCATAAAGTTTATTATCATTCATAAATTAGTTGAATTAACAAAAAATTCTAAATCTTAATTCTTCCTTAATCTTAATTAACCCTATGAAATTGGTGAAATACCTTCTAAATTGAGGTTCAGACAAGCTTAGTAATTTATCCAAAGTCAGAGTCATTTAGTAGTAGACAATCCAACCCCTGATTTCAAATCTTGGTGCTGAAATCCAACATGGAAAGCACTCTGGTCATGTAAATGGAATGACAAAGCAGGTTGAACTTAATCTGAACCTACTCTCTCAGGAGCAAAATATCCAATCACATCTTCACTTAAGCTAAGCCATCACCTCACTTGGTAGAGACAGTAAAGAGTACCCTTTTGCCATTTCTTTTCCAATCCAAATGATTCCCATAAATTCTATTCTTGCTAGGAAAGTGGGTATGAAAGCATTTCCCTACACATTTCCCAGCCTTTTGCATTTGGGGCTTTGTGAGATGGCCTGTCAATTGCTCCTCATTCCACACTTTAGCTGTTTGAAAAGCATTACAATGCAGAAACTTGGCTGGATGTTTATGCATTCCTCTATACTTTCCACCTCAACAGGAACAGCTACAGATGCTGCCTCATTGTTATTATTCATAACCAAGCAATTTGTCTAACAGATTAGGTGTTTTGCATGAACATCAATTTTTTTTCCCCTTTAAGTGGGGCTGAGTTGAAGAAATGCTATAAACATGCATATTTCAAATAAATTCAACTTAAAATTCTCATGCTAAAAAAATGAAAAGCCTGCCTTGTTTGTATCTTAGCAATTCTTATTGCTATTTAGCAATGTTTTATATTTTAGCATTTTTTCCATCCCAGTCCAGAGAAAATGCTAATGTACATTAGTGGGAATATATTAGAGATAGGAAATCAAGTTGATATATTTAGCCACAATTTTTAGAGGACTTCAAAGAGTGTGCTATATTTTATTCAACCCTTGGAATTGGGTTCAACTTAAAAACAGGTCTTAAAAGATACCTGGCAAGATCAGAATTAAAAGTTCAAGTAGCCATGCAACTTCCTACAGTCTTGACTCTTAGAACAGGGTGAAAAGTTCTATAGTTAGAATACTTCATTCTCAACAAGTGTAAGAAAAGGGAATTGTATAGTACAGGATTTATAAATTTACAATCTCTAATGATTACTCATTTAAAAGAACCTGAATTTCAAGGCAAGGTACATAATCCTAGCACACACATACATTACTCAAAACTCAGGGATTTTAACTTAATTCATCTAATAAAACTTTGCAAACTAATCTCTTTATTTGCAGGACATTCAGATGTAGCTGCCCAAGAGTTGTAAATATCAATCGACCTTTAGAGAGTGAGCTCTGAAATCTGAGTGTCAAGTGTATTAGGGATGACTATAACAGAAGTCAGTGGTTCTCAAACTTGAATATGCATTTTAATCACCCAGAGCTTAAGTGCTGGGCCCCAACCCCAGAATTTGACTCAAGTTGTTCTGGTACAGGTCTGCATGTTTATGCAGCCAGTTGAGGACCCATACTTTGTGAACCACTGGCTTAGAACTCTACTCATAACGAAATTATAGACAGATGTGAAACATTAAGAATCCAGAGAGGGAAGTGAGACATGTTTAAGAACTGAGAAGAAGTATGGCAGAAACCTCTGGAACTCTGGAAGGGGAGAAAAAAAAATTGGCAAATATTTAGGGATAAAGTCAAATTAAAAAGCCTCTAATTTAATTAGCAAGTGTTTGATAAACTTTTGAGTAATAGTTTCATTGGAGTGGTGGAAGCAGCCATATTTGCAGTGGGACTAGGAAATTAAGATACCAGAGAAAGGCACAGGAAAAACTGCTCATTTGCTGCTTTTCAAAAGTCTGTATGCTAAAGTTAAGGAAGCAGCAAGTGGAAAGGGTCAGACACCAGAGATCAGAAATAATCAGTGAAAACATAAGGCAGAAACAAGAGGCCTATTAGTACCAACTCTTCCCTCTGCTGTCCTACACTCTTTGATACCTTATTTTGCCTTGAAATAGCTAGACAAGATATTCAGGAAATGCAATTTTAAAATACGCAAAGTGAGACACATTATAGTTAAAAATAATTTTAACTGGACACAGTAGTGCCATCAAAGATTGCAAAACAGCTCTAGCTGATTTGGCTCAGTGGGTAAGAGCATCAGCCTACAGACTGAAAGGTTCTGGGTTTGATCCCGGTTAAGGACACATGCCTGAATTGCAGGCTTGATCCCCAGTAGGGGGCATGCAGGAGGCAACCAATCCATGATTCTCTCTCATTATTGATGTTTCTCTCTCTCCCTCTCTGAAATCAATACATTTTTTAAAAAAAGATTGGAAAACATTAAACAGGAATGCCAATTGAAGCAATTCATAATGTTCCTGGTTGCTTTCTGTGATAGTGAATTGTTGACCAATATAAGCATGTTTAAACACAACTTTCTATCCATAGATGTAAACCTGTTTAGGGCAAATACCCATTTGACTTATCGTTAGGTATTCAATGAAATTCAAAACCAGGTTTGCTGGATTCCAAAGTAGACCCATTACCATCACACTTCACTGGAGAAAACTGAAGGCCGCTAATATTGGGCTTACTACCCATTTATAGCACTAACTTAAGTTACACAAATGAATAGGTTCTTGTCATTGAGTCTATTAGTAGGGAAGAGAATACTCAGAGGAACGTCAAGGTTTCCATGTCAAATAAACTGATACTATTGCTACAGGGATCACAGAATACTGAAGGCAGCTAGGATAGGATGTCATCAATTCTTTTTTGGATGTTTAACTTAAATGTGCTCCAACTACACAAAGTAGCTTTAAAATGTTCCCCTTAATATGAAGCAATATAACACCAGAGATTAAGACCAGGTTACGGAGCCAGGCTGCCTAGGTTTGAATCTGCAGCCTTGGGCAAATTGTGCCTCAGCTTTCTTTTATGGAAATTGGGCAAAACATGTAAAGTGCTTAGAATGCAACACATTAACTGCTACATAAATGTTTAGCTTCGGTTGAAATAAAAAAAGGGATTCTAGTTCCAAATTATCAGACACTATTTTTTCTGAGCCAAGTTTCATGAAAAGTGGAAGCAACTCAGAACTAGTATGTAACTCACAATGAAGAGGGTAATTTGAAACCATCTATTTCTAAGTAGCAGGCTTCAAAGGCAAGTTTCTAATCCTTAAGATAGGATACTTAGATAATTATCTAAGTAATCAATTTTCCTTGAGCTTAACTATAATGCAACAGATGCAGCTTCCTAACCAATGGAGTATTCTTTGTTGCAAAGTAAACCACCTCACCTCTTTCAGCAAAAACCCCCACTACATTCAAATAGTAAAGACATCACCCAATGAATTAGGACACAAAAGTTTTTTTTCGTTTATTGATTGGCTGCCTCCTGCAAGCCCCCTACTGGGAATTGAGCCCACAACCCAGGCATGTGCCCTTGACTGGAATCAAAACCGGGACCCTTAGGTTCGCAGGTTGTCTATCCACTGAGCCAAACCAGTTAGGGTGACACAAAGTTTTCAATTATTCTTTGGGGGGAAGGGATGCCACACTTCTACTCAATTAAGAGAAACATTTTTATCAGCACAGAAGTCTTTTTTATTTTTTCCCACTTATCATGCCATGAATTCATAGGGAATGGGTTCCAGCAGCTCAGGCTCCTTTCCATTGGTTCTCACAAAGTGTGCTTCTCTGGGTGGAGCAGGCTATTAAAAACAAATGAAAACAAGGCAATGGAATAATTATGTTAAGAACTGTAACTCAATTTCAAAGTTCTCTCAGAACCAATGAGGTAACATCTACTCAATGCTTTAACTTTACTAACTTTCATATAAAAGAAAATTATCACTGAGCAAATTTCACAGTTGTCATGATCAACCAAAAAACCCTTTGTCAAGCACTCACCTGACGCTTCAGTTGAACCCAGGTACCTTTCTCTTTGGCTTCCTTCTTTTTCTGATCATTTTCCTTCACACGTTTCAAGAAGCTATCTCGGCTCTTAGAGTGCTTAATATGCTCAATACGTACATTAATTCTCTTGGCAAGAATCTTGCCCCTGGAGAAAACAGAAATTCTTATAAATGCTTCATAAAAAATATAACCAAATTAAAAAAAAACTCTTTTGGCAGTTTCATTTATGAAATAAACCATGAACCCTTTACCCACAGATAGGATAAGTTAACAGACCCCAAAACACTAAATAACTTAACCAAAACCAGATCGCTAATAAAATTTGTAACTTTTTATATTTTGGAAACTAGAACTGCCTAATACCAAATCCTGTAAGTCTATTTTGTTTCCTCTGACAGGATACAAAACAAACACCCCGTTTGCCTGAGTTTTAAAAGGACATTTCCTTTGCCCCACTTGAATGACCAATAAGACATAAGTCCAATTGACAAAGTGAAAAGGGGGTGTGAGGGAATACGAATCAAAGAATTATTACTTACTTAACTTGCTTGTTCACAATAATGCCCACTGCATGCTGGGTGACATTGTAGACTCTTCCAGTTTTGCCATGGTAACATTTGTGGGGCATTCCTTTTTGAACAGTGCCCATTCCCTGTTAAGAAAGGAGATAAACGTCACCTCAGCAA